CCCCCTGCCGATGCAGGGGACACGGGTTCGTGCCCCGGTCCGGGAAGATCCCACAGGCCGCGGAGTGGCTGGGCCCGTGAGCCATGACCGCTGAGGCTGTGCGTCCGGAGCCTGTGCTCCGCAACGGGAGAGGCCACAACAGTGAGAGGCCCGCGTACCACAAAAAAAAAAAAGAAAAAGATAAATATGTGAGGTGCTGGATGTGTTCATTAACTAGATGGTGAGAATCTTTCGCAATGTATATATACATATAGTGAATCACCACATTGTACACTTTAAACATCTTAAAACTTTATTTGTAAATGACACTTCAATAAAGCTGATACTTCAGAAACTCCTGTCCTTTTGCCATCGCTGGCCTCCTGGACTCCCTCCAGGTACCAGCCCAATCACCACACCAACACCAATCGGCTTTTATTCAATATTTTATCCTTTTGGTGGCTCTAAGCATGTTTCCTGAGGAAGTTTTGAAAGTTCACTGTATTATCCCCAAAAAGTAATTTCAACATATGTATATATGTAAAGCATTCCTCTGGGAAGAAAACAACTAGGAAGAATATCAAAAATACATGAATTTCAGTGCTAACTTTCCTCTGTGAGCAGAGATGAAAGCTCTAAAAGAGTCACTCAAAATGAAATATCAATACATTACAACATGATTTGGGAAATTCCAACCACCAGTAGCTTTCATAAAGGTGGGCTAGCTCACTCAAAAAACAATAAATAATCAATAATTAAAAAGAAGTATAATCTCGACCCTGATTGTCTCACTAGTCATCTCTTTAGGGAGAAGGCTGAGTTAATTTGGAGGTTTTGTCAAAGATACTCGTTATGCTTCCCCAGCAAAGACTCTTAATGTAAAATTATGGTGTGAGGGCTTATTCATCGATTAGAAGTCTCTGGTCACAAAGCTATTATGGCATAGTTTTTTTTAACTTAGAATTTCTCATACTTGAAAACCTTGAGAATCAAAATTTTACTCTCATATGCAGAGTGGACAAAAAGCGGCATGTAGGTTAAAGATTACTTTCAAAATGTTTTTATTTAAACATGCAGCCTGGCAATATAGGAGCCGGGAGATGGCATCTAAAGTCTCTAATGAAATTATGCCTGAGTCGGTCCTCAGCCATGGTTCTAGAATCTAACAGAGTGACACGGTCTCACTGTGCTATCAGACTTCCAGTCAGCTGAAACAGGTCACAGTGCTTGTTTAGGATCATGTTTTAGAAATACAAAAAGTTTTCAGCACAGGACTTCCAACATCTGCTAGAAAAATCACTTCAATGCTCTGCAAAGTCTTGGCTATAACAGTTGCCACCACATAATGACAAGCTTGTGACTGAAAACCAGTGCTATCTTTCCCAAGACAGAGGCTTCCAGGGCATCATCCAACACCTGCTGATAACAACTGGCTGCCAGGCAAACATCATGGGAGAAGAATGATTCCATCAGATCACTGGGTGGAGTCAATACATGATGTAGCCAGAGGCTGACAAACACAGCAGGTATGGCCTCTTTGCAGTGTAAGAAACATAGTGCCAGGGTCTGCGACTTGTTTGCAAGGGAATCTGGGATTCTGCTGCTGTGCTCCAGGCTACAAGGACAGTCTAAATGAGCTCTCTATGGCATATGCTATTAAGGACCAATTTGGGGCCCACCCTCCAGCCCCATCACTATAACTCCATGATGACATTCCATCATGCCATCAGGGACTCCAAACTGTCTTCCAGCTATTGTTTCCATTTTCAGTAGAGCCCAAACTCTGCTATCTCTGCACAAGTACACAGTCACACAGCAAAGCTGGGCTTTCGTTCTCTGATGACATCACTGGAAAACCAAGCCCAGTAGGAAACAGCAGCCACAGCAAACACAAACCCAGCCCAGGCACACACAAAGGAGCACTGCTTGCTACCTGCTAACACCTCTTTGCCCAGGGCCCATGGTAACTGGAAATCCTGAGCTGTGACAGCACTTATTAACCACAAGACCCACTACAAACTAAGACACTAGAATCTTTGACGAGAAGCTTAACTGAGCTGACATCATGTGTGCGTGGCTGTGAAACCACCTAAGGAAGTCCAGGGGATAGAGGTGAAAAAGTCTCTGGGAGATTTAGCAAGGGGACCAAAAAGGGATATGATTATGGCTCTTCTGAGATGCGTGGCACCTAGCATCATGCAAGTTAAAGGGACAACAGTGTCTAGTGGATCCTTCTCTGTCAAGGACCACTTCTTCCAGGAAAAGCATCTTGAGAATCTTTGACTTCACCCAGTTCTACTAGTCATCCCCTCTACCCCCCTCCAAAAAAAGCAATAAACATATGAAGAATTCCATCAAGGGATGAATGGATAAACAAAATGCAGTATATAAACAAAATGTGCTCTACACTCACAATGGAATATTATTCAGCCTTAAAAAGGAAGGAAATCCTCACACGTGCTTCAACATAGATGAAGTTTGCAGACATTATGCCAAGTGAAATAAACCAGTCACAAAAGGACAAATACTGTATGATTAGATTTAAAGGAGGTACCTAGAATAGGTAAATTCATAGAGACGACGTACAACAGAGCTTTACCAGGGGCCTGGGGGGGCGTGGAAGGAGAAAGGGGGAGCTATTGTTTAATGGGTACAGAGTTTTTGTTTAGAATGGTGAAAAGGTCTGGAAATGGATGGTGGTAATGGTTGCATAACATTGTGAATGTACTTAATGCCACTGAATCGTACACTTTAAAAAATGTTTAAAAACTGTAAAATTTATGTTATGTATATTTTACATACAAAAAAATGAGTATGAACAATGGCATCGCTTTTAAGGAAATATGACTAAGGTAATGTTTATTTAATTTTAATTTTTTTTTTTTTTTTGGCCGCACTGCACAGCCTGTGGGATCCTAGTTCCCTGAGCAGGGATCAAACCCAGGCCCTGGGCAGGGAAAGCACAGAGTCCCAACCACTGGACCACCAGGGAATTCCCTAAGGTAATGTTTAAATGACCATTATGAACAAGTAAATAATTCACATCAGAAATTATAAGATAATCATCATAAGATAGTCATAAGATAGTCAGGAACACTGTAAAAGAGGAAGATCTATGTTGATCAGCACCGGTGGACCCCAGTGCAAAATCTGACGGCCAATTCCCTGATTCTAGTCCAATCTCTTGCTTCTGTGGAGGAATACATTCAACTATTTGGAGTCAAAATGCTTCATCATTTAACTAAATCTTAGAACTAAATCTTAGAATCTCTATCACAGTCCTTGTGAATTCAGGGCTCCTATTTGTTTAAATGAAGACCCATTCTCTTTGAACTATCCACCATAACAATGGAGTATAAAGTAAGACCTGTGGTTAATATCACATATAAAATCCCCAAATTTTATATTTGGGGGTTTTATCAAGTGGAGGACGCTCTACCATGGAAATGTAAAATTATGACTTAACGAGCTATTCCTTTGGATTGGTTAAGCACCTTGCGTGTGGCAGTCTTTCAGAATATGGACTGTGATGTAATAGGGTCAGGGAAATTAATCCACACCTAAGCTCCCAGGGCCTCTCCCTTGTCAAACTTCTTCATACCAGTGTTTTGCTCTCCAGTTAAATATTTTCAGAGAAGCCAAAATTATTAATATTTATTCTGGACTCATGCTCAAAGCTTCTCCAGAGCGCCACGCCAAGGGCTGACTTAGCAACGAAGCAGTCAATCTAATTCACGGAGACGTTGGGCAGATAACTTGGACCACGAGGCAAATGATTTGGCCTGATCATTCAGTTGGGCGGTTTACTTTATTCATGTAAACCCTCACTTCATTTTCTTTTCATTTTGAGCATCATTTCAGCCAAGGCATGATGTTCTCAAAGAATCATGAGGATTTATTTGGGTGAGGCAGGACTGAATGGCCAATTCGGATTACAATTTTGGTTGAAAAATGTCATTGCCTTTGACATTTCTTTTCAATCTATTTGAAAAGTGGTCTTAATAGGATCATAACAACAATGTGTGATCTGAATCGGACGCTGGATCAAATTTTTGTGGAGAGGGCTATAAAGAATGTTACTGAGCAAACTGGCAAAATATGAATCAGTCTATACATGAGATAATTGTATTGCATCAATGTTAACTTCCTCACTGTGATAACTACTGTAGTCCTGTAAGAGAACATCCTTGCTCTTAGGAGATACATGCTCAACAATTCAGAAGTAAAAAAAAAATCTGCAACTTACCTTCAAATAATTCAGAAAAAAATTACATATATACAAATATGTATGTATATATGAAGTGAAACTGATAAGAGAAGCAAGGTGAAATAATAATTGGGGAATCTGAGTAAAGGATATGGGACTTCTTTGTACTATTTCTAACTTTTCTGTAAGCAGGAAATAGTTTCAAAATTAAAAATTTACCCCCCAAATTTAAAGCTGATTTAATAACTTATTCATAGCAGTCCTATGATCTACAACAAAGCCAAATTAATATGGTATTATAAATTGTATATCTCAATTTATTTTAATATTATAAGAGTGGCATCATTAACCAGGAAAACACTACTTGAGCTCTACTTGATTACAACATCATTTAATCTCAAGATTGGAAGGGAATTAAAATATCATACAACTCAAATAAACACCCGTGTTTCCCAATGTAACACCAGAAGTTAAACAATACGCAAGGAAGCTGGGTATGAGTCATGAATCAATCACAGAAGAGGTGGTCCTACCTTGAACTGCTGTTGATCTCCGCCCAGCCCAGTTTCCATGACACATGAAGCAAAAGTCCACCAATTAATGTCTGCCACCTGAAAAGGATAAGGGCCAATGTGAATTTAACAGAGTGCCATGGTCTCAAATGCCATCCACCCCCATCCACCCCCAGCAGATCTGTCGAGTGACACAAATATACACGTGATCCTTCTTACAACTCCTTTCTCCCACTTTCTCCAAATTATCATCCCAATTCTCAGACCCATCCTTCTCAACCTCTACTATTCCCTGAGTCCAGCTGTACCATTCAGTGCGGACACTGATGTTCTCCTCTTCTTATTCTAGGCTTTTCCAGAACAATCTCACCCACAGCCACCACTTCTCTATGACCTCTGCACTAATGGTTCCCATATCCCCCTTCTCACAAGGATATGGCCACCCTGATACCCTACAAGCTCCCGATGATAACATGCCTAAAACATTGCCTTGAACTTCCCTCTCCCCATCCTGGTCATTCTCCTACTATCCCTAATCAGCCAAACCAGAAACCTAGATGTCATCCCAGCCCTCCTCTGTCATCACCTCCCTCAACAACTTACAAAATCCTATTGACTTTATCCCCATAACCTTTCTGAAACCCGAAGCCTTCCCCTCCATCCATCTGCTTAATTCAGACTCTCATCATCCCACACCTGGACCATAGCATCAGTTCCCTTCTCTCCAGGGCTGCCCTGCACCATCCATTCTCCATCCTGCAGCCAAAGGGTTTGTTCTAAAATGCAAACCTAATTGTGCCCCTCACTTGTTTTAAAAATGGCTGATTCTTCCTGGTGCTGTAGGCAGCAGCCCTCGGCCTCTTTTCTGCTGCAACACACTTGGGGTCATGAAGCTCACGTGAGACACATTTCCTCACGTGCAGAGTTTAGGGGGAGCACAGGTGACAAGATAAACACCCCTCCCTCTCCCACTGCAGAAAGCACGGCAAAATGCCAAATGAGTGACCAGTACTACAGGCGTAACTGTATCCTATTCCACACTAATTGCTTTTACTCTATTTTTGGTGAGTCATTCATAAATTTCAAAATCTTATTTTTAGTTATGACTTGAGACATCTACCTCGGAGGTTATTACAGCACACCTGTGTGTTGGGACACGACACTGGAGAACCCCTGGTCTACAGAAAAAAGTCACTTGCATGTGACATAGAAGCCTTCCAGGACTTGCAGCTGCCCCTCTCCAGGGTCAACTCCTGTCCATCTGCCAGTGGCAGCCACATTCCAGCCACACCAAACAGGCCATAGCCTCGGTAATGTGCCAGGCCATTTCATACTTTTTAGAGTTTGCACGTGCGGCCCTCGTGACCCATAACGTCTTCCCTTCTCCTCCGTGTTGGTGGACACCTGCTCATCCTGTAAGATCCAGGTGTTACATCTCCCTTGTGAAGACTTCAATGACACCGCCAGGCGGAGTGGACAGATATGGGTCGTGTCTTCCAACAGCTTGGTCTAGAGCAGCGGATCTCAATCATGTGGATCTTCCCCCCCAGGGGACATTTGGAGACATTTTTGGTTGTCACAACTGGGGATGGGGGAAGGGTTGCTACTGGCACCTGATGAGTAGAAGCCAGGATGCTGCCCCACACCTTACAACATGCTGGACAGCCCTCCACAACAGAGTTATCTAGTGCAAAATACCAATGGTGCTGAGGCCGAGAAACTCTGGTCTAGAGGGAAGTAAGCTAATTAACCAATAATTACAATAAAGTGTGATACAGTCCTAATGGGAAGAGTACCAGGTAGCACAAAACACCCTAGCAGAGGCAGTTAATCCAGTCTAGGGGGTTGGGTGACTCTTCCTAGAGGAAGTAAATTCAAGCAAAAGCCTGAGGCCTGTTCAAAGCGGGAGATCCAGAATGGACCAGGGCCCACAGGTAAGAGAGACAACGGCTCCAGCAAAGCTTCTTAGAGAGGTTCAATTGGCCTGACCTTAGCATGTGAGTACTCGAGGCGGGGGCTGGTCATGAAGGGCCATGTCAATCGTCAACGAGCTGGGGCTTCAAACTGGGGACCCACTGAAGGGTCTGCAGCACGGGAGCGACACTGCCACATTTACCTTGGGGAAAGCTCTGTCTCTTTACAAGGGAGAGAATGTTTGCTGAGAGAAGCAAGACCAGGGGCCAGGAAGCAAGTTAGGAGTTGTTAGCGTGATTTGAGAGATGACAGTGGCCCAGGAAGGGGCGATGAAGAAGGTGGACGGGTTCTAAAGATGTTTAGAGGTCCTAGTTGTTGATTAGACGCTGGGGTGAAGGAGACAAAGAAATCAAGAATAACACAGGTTTCTGAGTAGGGCGACTGGATAGAAGGTACCATTCACCACAGGTAAACTGAAGAAGAAATGAGCAGGCTCTAGGAGGGCAGGGATTTTTCTTTCCTTTACTGTAGTCCAAGTGTCTAAAACAGTGACTGGCATATGCATGTGATCAATTTTCTTAGAATGAGTTATTCTGCCCTACTATGTACCTCCTGTGTACCTGGCATGGTTCTAGGCATCAGGGATACACCAGTGACAAAATAGATTTTTTTTGTTGCTTAATTCTTGCATTTGTAGACCTTACATTCTATCGGGGGAGGTGCATTCAGTCTGACATCTACAGAGAAGGAGGGGAAAAGGCAATTCAGGTGAAAACATCACCTTTTCCCACTAACTTCCCTAAGTCCCTCTACCCGGAGAGAAGTGAAAGGACAATCAGGATCAGAAAATGGGAAAACAGGGACTTCCCTGGTGGCGCACTGGTTAAGAATCTGCCTGCTGATGCAGGGGACACAGGTTCGAGCCCTGGTCCGGGAAGATCCCACATGCCGCGGAGCAACTAAGCCTGTGCGCTACAACTACTGAGCCTGCGCTCTAGAGCCTGCAAGCCACAACTACTGAAGCCCGCATACCACAACTACTGAAGCCCGCACGTCTAGAGCCCAAGCTCCACAACAAGAGAAGTCACTGCCATGAGAAGCCCGCACACCACAACAAAGAGTAGCCCCCACTACTCTTTATTTACCATTAGCCCCTTTCCATAAAAACTAACAAATAAGTGCTCAAAAACAGACCTTAGAAAAATGACTTTACATATGATACTAATGACCCAAAGGCAAAAGGAAGGATTATACAATAAAATATAATTAATGGGGCTAGTATAAATAAAAAACCGTTAGGGGAGGAATGATTTCTTCACATTGCACCATACACTAAAATAAACGGATAATAATTAAGAATTGAAAAAAGCTTTAATGACTTATAGGTGAATATCTATATGATCTTGTGATAGAGAAGAATAAACATAAAAGCAATGGTAGCTATCACAAAAGAAACGATCAATTTAAAACTAAAATATATATTTTTTAAAAGATGGGGGCGGAGGTGGAGGTTTGAGGTGAGAAGGGGAAATGTGAACGCCAGAGCACTCCATGCTGCCTCTACCATTTCTCTAGACTGTTGACCCGACTCTACATCATTTTCTATCTTCTTCCTAATAATAGCACCTCTCAGTCACAAGATCACACACTGGATTCATCTGTGTTTCTCTCTGCTGCTTCATTCCTACGTTCAAACAATGAATTCTCTATGATGTCACTTAAAAAAACTAAATAATCAAGGTAATTATAAACAAAATGAAATGGCAAAGAAAAAATTGAAAGAAATTCCAATAAATATGATAGAAAAGTGGTTGACATCCTTTAAATGTGAAGAATTCATTAAATAATAAAGAAATACTAAAACCCTAGTAAAAATAAAAGGGTTAAAAAAAGAAAAAATAAAATAAAAGGGTAAAAGGCACAAATAGACACTAAAAAAGAGATACAAGTGGATAACATAAGAAAACTGTCCAATTTCATGAATAATCTAAGAAATGATAAGACAAAATAATATGATACCATTTTTTTGCTCATGAAATCAGCAGAGAGAGGGAAAAAGTAACAGTCATGGTTTGAGTACAATATCATAGAAACTTTCATACACAGGCTGGGTTACAATATAAATTGGTAAAAAGATTCTGGAAAAGAATTTTTTAATATTCAAGCAGACTACTAAAGAAGTTCATGTTCTTTAATCTAAATTTCTTATATAGGAATCTATTCCAAAGAAATAGTTAGAAATTTGGCAGATTTGAATGCAAAAAATATCTGAGAACATTGTTGTGTTTAAACCCCCAAAATGGGACACCATTCAAATGCCATTAATAGATGACTAAATAAATTACAGGATGTCTATCTAATGAAAAAATCTATGCAGTCATTAAATATATTTTGAAGAACATTTAATGATGCTGGTTGGACATTTCCTACAAATGTACATAAAGTGCATAAAAGATACTCACCCTTGGAATAATGTAGGGTAGGTAAATTTCAAGACAGACAGGACATACTGAAAAACAAATACCAAATTAATGGACATTTTCAAATTATAGAGAATTGATAGATCATATAATCAAAGAAATCCCTACTAAAGAAACATAAGTATACTCAAGTTTCAAAAAGGCTTTTTTTATTCCTCCCAAAAAAATCACACACTGGGGAAAAAAATGACCTTCCAATTCATACTAAAGAGAGGGACTAAGTGAAGTAAGTCAGACAGAGAAAGACAAATATCATATGCTTTCACTCACATGTGGAATCTAATTTTTTTTTTAAGTGATACAAATGAACTTACTTACAAAACAGAAACAGACTTACAGATATTGAAAACAAACTTATGGTTACCGAAAGGGAATGTTGGGGGGAGGAATAAATCAGGGGCTTGGTATTAACATACACACACTACTATACATAAGATAGATAACCAGCAAGGACCTACTGTATAGCACAGAAAAAAATCTGAAAAAGAATGAATATATGTATAACTGGGTCACTTTGCTGTATACTGGAACTAACACAATATTGTAAATTAACTATACTCCAATAAAATAAAATAAAAAAAAGAAAGAGGGGGGACTTGCTTTCCCCAGAGTCACCAGAAGCCTGACCACCTCTCAGTTGGGGACGCAACAAAGTGGAACACACAGCAGCTGGGCCAGATATTGTGGACATCTGACCCCTCAGCATCGTCCCAGACCCCGAAAGTGCCATGTTATAACTGCGGCAACTCCAGAGAAAACCGGACAAACCCCTGGACACTGTCTGTTTTCTCGGGGTATCCACTTTTATCTACTGCCCAGTTTACCTAAAAATCCACAGCCTTCTGTGTTTCTCTTCAAGTAAGAACTGCATCCTGTTCATTCTTTCCTTTGTTTTCCTTCCATTTTTAGGGTTTTGTTTGGTTTTTGCATTCTCAGGATTTTTTTTCCTAACTAATTCTTCTTAGGTATATTACGTTTTTAGGTGTGTTTTTTAAGGATCTGTTTAAAGACAACTCAGCTAAGGTCAACTTGTATTTCTGTTATGTCTTTTAACCAAATTTACAGCACATTATGAATGGGAGAACTGTATTTTATCTTTCTGCGTATCTTTTTCTATTTTTTTCTATGACTGAACACTAAGAATTTTTTAAAAGCCTAAAAACCATTAAATGGCTTTAAGCAAGGGTTCTACTGATACTTCACATGATCTGAAAAGCGCAATAGACTGGTGTTGGGCAAGTTTACATTTATATTTTTTTTCCCCATGGATTAATCAACATGTAATTCCCCTTGTATGAGCTCCTAAATGCCACAATTATGGCTAACTACCTGTGCTCTGGTCTGTGTTTCCTAGAAATGGACCTTCATTCTTCTCTGAAGTCTATTTACTCACACAATTCAGTTTGTTCCCCTCCACTTTTCCACGATATTTTCTTCGTAAAACTGAGACAGAGAAAGGATTGAGCATGTGGGCCATGACCTACATCATCCTCAACAATGTTCATGATGATAACAAATGCTCATTTGTCACTATTTGCTAATAGTTCTTTTCCAGAGAGCAAGAGGGTTTTATTCTCAAGAGGGAGTGGGGAGAGAGCAGTCAAGACCCTTCAGTGGGGGAAGGAGGTCCTGAGCTCCTTATTGCCACTTTGGCTTGGTGTCCACCCTGGAGTCCAAGACAGGGGGTGATGCCCCACCCTAGACCACAGGGATCCAACATTTCCCTGCATGGTACCAAATCCAAGGCCAGCTTCTCCCTCCTAACAAAACAAAAACATGGTACCACTGCTTTTCTGCCTCTTCATCAAAAGGGTTCTACGACATTAAACGAAATTAAGCTTACATCTTATTTTTTTAAATAATTCCATGAAAAAATCTTGAATATATTGGAAGTGCCTGGGATGGAGACATAGAAAAAATAGGTTTGAGAATCAGTGGTGTGAGGCAGAGATGGAGATGGATTGATATCTTCTATTTAAAGGTTTCTGGAACCTTGTGGGGTTCTGGGGCAGGGGCATGTTTAGAAGAGAAAGCAGGATGTGTATGATTTCTTCACCTACTCTTCCTCCTCGAGGGAACAGGAGCCAATTGCTTTTTCTTTCCCT